TATCGATGCTCATCTAGTTCAATACTTTCTTAACATTGATGCTTATAACTATATAGTATGCTACTATATGCATTGTGCTTACTGCTTAGTATCATCTAGGATGTTATGAAATTACCCTCTAGTGATACCCTATTGATGCTACACGAGTATAGAGGAAATTATCAATCGTTTATATCTCTAGTAGTTTCAATGCTTGATTGTTAAATTATCAATGCTATAGACCATTGATTATGGATCAAGAAGGCCCACACTTAATTATGTGTTATCCTCACTTATCTATTCTTCATTGATTAGATGGTGACATGAAGCGAATTCACGCATTAGCTAGTCAAGTTCCTATTGCATGCGACGAAAACTCAAGTAGGATGGCCTTAGTATAAGGGATAGAGTGATGCTATAGATGATTCATTGGTGTATGATATGATTAAACATTGGTATATGTTATGATAATCGAAGTTTGCCTTCTTTTTCAATAATTTAGCTTTACTTTTATGCATCTATATATATAACTTTAAAACCCCTAAGCAACTTACTCTTCTTGCGTTGCTTTACTTTACTTTACTTTACTTTACTTTACTTTACTTTACTTTGTTTACTCAAATGAAAACCCCTAAAGAACTCTTTACTATTTCTTGTTGAGCATAGATGGTATGGTGTGAATAGTTATAGGTGCATTAGAAGACCTTGTGGAATACGACTATAGGGCATCCTAGAATTTTATCACTTGCATGAATTTGTCATCAAGTTTAAGTCCTTGTATACACGATCGTGAAGAGGAAGTCGTGGCCGCACACTTTGTCGCGGGCTCAGATATGAAGGGTCGTGAAACAAACCGCAATACCTTTTGTTTCTTTATTTTTTTATAGCCTCCTCACGATAGCATCTAGAAGATTTGAGATCACGGACGTAAATTCTTGTGCATGTCGTGATCTCTTTGCTGCCTCTGGAGATCTCGGTCTTGAATTTGGTGATCCCGACTGTGAACTCTGTTTTGCCTCATTTTCCCCTTCTTTCCTACACATGAGCGCCCTTTCTTTGCCTTTTTTGCTTGTAAGGCACTATAGAGGCAGGGGTTTGTTCGCCTTGTCCACCTCAAAGCCCTAAGATTACTCATTATCCTTAGTTTGTCGTATGGCGCATACTTGTCAAACCCTAAAACTCTGTACCCAGCGTAGAAGCTCAAGTAGGCTAGTAGAGAAGATTAAAGCGACTTACCCAAGCATAACTAAATACACATGAGGCATAAATTCACTAGAACAACATACCCATAAATAAACTCATTCAAATAACTACTACAATCTAGGGTTCATCTATTCTAAACAACCATTAGAGATTCAAGTCATAGAGAGAGAAAGAAAACACAAACTAGAAGAGAGGGAATGATGGAATCAATCTTCTTCTCCTTGCTTGCACCTTCTTCTTGCTCCTTGGGTGGATTGGATCTTCAATGAAGCTCTCCCAAGGTGTTTCCCTCTCTAAAATGCTCCAAACCCTAACTTTCTCACTTTAGGGCGGCTCTTCTTTTTCCAAGTGAAGAAAAGGGCTATTTATAGGATACTGTTAGTGGTCAAAACCTCGAGGGTGTGACCTGGTCATGACTAGCTGGAACTTCTTCGAATCACCCAAAATGAGTCATTTTGTCTCATCTTTAAGTTTCGAGATCGCGGCCTCCTTCATGAGATCACGTCCGCGATCTTTGTGTCCCGTGCACGATCTTTTTTGCGGTCCAAAAGCACCAAGACCGTGACTCGGATGTCAAAACTTTTTTCCCTTGACGGTTCCCTTTTGAAGTTATAGGGCACTTCTCCCAGACGCGATCTTCGAGATCGGGAACATGGTCATGACCTGGTCACGGTCGTGACGAGGCCGTGACCTGTGCCTTTCTCCCCTTTTTGCTCAATGCTTCGTTCGGATGAACTCCAATCAATTCTCGAGCAATCCCAAATGCATATAAGACCTGAATTTCATCACAAACACTAGAAAAGCATAAAATATGGCAAAGTGGGGTCGGTTCCCCTATGAAAACTTTCATATGAATAACGCATATGCCAAAACGCAAGTTTTGCAAATAGGAACAAAAATAGGCATGAATAACTTGATATGTGGCCTAGACACACTGATTTAACATGCAGATGCTTTAATAATAAGGGTAAATGACACCTATTTTAAGTGTTAACATGAACCTTTATAGACTACAAATGATATTTAAGTGATATAAATACACTTAAACTTACATGAAACACCTAAGAAATCAAAGGTGAAATAACACAAATTTAGATGTTATCAAACACCCCTAAAGTGTAATACTGAAGGGATGCTACCAGTTCAAAGCTCTTGTGGTGTCCTCCCCTAGTTAGCTAGTTGGATTTCTATTGACAACATGACTTTTTCAGGCTACTACTTGATGCCAGATCATTGCAGGTAACTGTCTATCCTCTAGCATGCATCGAACCATATACATACCAATTTTATTGCTCTTCATGAAATATCTTAAAATCTCCTCCTTTGATCGCCAAGGTCAAGTTTCTTTCTTGAATTCGGCCCACAATAATTAAGAAGGTTTGTAGTCATACCAGGAACATAGAAAACATTTTGAACACTTAAAATGACATGGTCTTTCATCAACTTCATCGTGCCTTTGAAAATTAAATTCAATTTAGCATCATTTCCAAGTTTCCAAGTATCTTCAAAGTTTGGATCCATCTTTGTGAACCATTGTTTGTTTCGGTCATATGATTGTTTCAGTCTGATTCTAAAAACCACCATCCAACATTCTCTTCCCTTCATTTCCTTCATCCATGAAAGCCATGAGATCAAAGACTTCAAATTCTTGTAATTCAACTACAATTTGAGTCATCATGAGTACAACATATTTCATATCTCCATAATACTCTACCAAAGTATTCATTGACTTTCTCACCATCCTTCATCTCTAGAAGCTCAAAGTTTCTTCTTAGAGCTTAAAACAGTTCCTTCTAAACCCTAGCACTTTCTGTGAACGTGACCTTTATAGCATCCAAAATTTCTTTGGTTGTTCCTTTCTTTGTGATGGTTTTCAAAATTGTTTTATCAATGGAGCTGAAGAGATAGTTCTTAGCTTTATGATCTTTCAATCTTGAGTTGTTCCAACTTTCGAGTTGAACAACAATAAGTTCTTCATTGTTAGCGGGTTCTTTGAAGCCATCAAGAATCACATCCCAGGACTTCACTGATCTCAGCAAATTCCCCAATAACATACTACAATTATCATATCACGATCAAACTTTGGAATCCAAACCTATGGAAAACTCCCATTCTCTCCCATTTTCACTCTTTCACTCAGAAATCTCAGTGACTTATGTACTGAGGCTTCAATCGGGCTTGCTGACAAAATCTCTCAATAATCACAATGGTTGGTTGCAGTTTGCTTAATGCTCTAATACACAATGTTAGAACAATTTGGAAGCAAACTAACAAATCTTCATCGAATGAAAACATTGGAAAATAAATACAAAGGTTTCAACCAACAGATCCAGCCTCCACCAAACCTTTTAACTCATTAGCCCTTGTTTCCTACTAATAAGAAACCACTAGCTTAGCTAACAAACTAATGGACTTGATCACGAAGCAGAAACAATCCATGATACTCAATTTGGAAATTGACTCAAAACAAAACAAGACCATCAAAAACATAAATTGACAAAATGGCAGAACTTTGACATAAACAGTCTTATTTGAACTTTAGTCTTCTCGCCTCCTTTCTCCAGCTATCACGTGTTTGAGGATTACCAATAGTAGTGATGACAATGCGGCGGGGCGGGTACCTCAATACCCATGCCCCGCCCCACGCTACTACGAGGCGGGGCGGGTAATACCCGCGCTAGTACGCGGTGGGGCGGGTCGACCCATTGTTACATGCTATTTGAAAAAAATACATACAAAATTTTACTTTTTACGATAAAACAAAGGGGAAAAGATTTCATTAATGAATAATAGTGATAATATAATGGGTAATTGAGTCTATCTAGTTGAAAGATCAAGTCTAACTAGTTGAAGAACAACCAAAATCGGAGATATATGAATGGATGACGTAAGAAATTAACCTAGAATGGGCCAAGAACGGAGCAGGGTGGGTCGGAAGTTGATACCATGCCCTGCCCCACGCTACTGCGGGTCGGGTAATACCCGCCCCATCGCGAGTCAGGTCGGGTAATATCTAGCGGGACGGGTTCAAATTGTCATCCCTAACAAAAAGGCCACTGACAGCACTTTCTTACCCTGTCCACAGTGAGATCAGTATTGCCCTGCCACAATGTGGTTTGTACTGTATAATAATGAATCACTTGAATGAACGAATACATAGTTCTCAAACACTACAACGGAGCTATTCCAATAATTATATTCTTAAGAGTTAATAGTAAAAATTATCCCTCTACTATGGGTTTTTCTCAAACTTGCACATTGATAGCATCGTATTTGCACGTGTTTTCACTCTGGTTTCCTGTCCATTTTGGCTCGAATTGATTGTTCCTTGGCCTATTTTACGCTAGGTTGTGTTGTTTTGTCGTATTTCAGGTCCTAGCAAGTAAAGAGGTGCATAGGCGCAAGTTTCGGGTCATTTGGAGGTCAAATGGCGAAGCAGAGACAGAATTACGGGCAGCCCCTGCCAAATTACGGCCGTAATTGGCCAGGGCATGCCCGTAATTAAATGGCCGAGCCTTCTCCCCAGAATTCCCTCTCGGCGATGAAATTACGGTCAAGACCCCAAGAATTACGACCGTAATTCCCAAATTACTGGCGGTAATTGGGAAATTACGGGCGTATCTCCTCCTCCTGCAGCTTAAGTGAAACGTGCGTTTTGGTGCGAATTACGGGCAGGACGTGATTACGGCCGTAATTCTGCCCGTAATTCGCCCAGAGTCGGGTTTTTGGAGGCAGATTCGAGCCAAGGGGGAGGAATTCGATTTTCTGGGCAAAAACAGAGTTTTAGAGAGAGAAAGAGCGAAGAACAAACCCTAGGAGCTATTTTGGAGTGGATTTCTCATCATTGAAGCCCAGATTGCGTCCCTAGGAGTGAAGATTGACATCCCAGAGCAGATTTTCCTCATCTTTATGAGTATGACTACTCTGATTTCTGTTTTCTCTTCTCTCTCTATGGAGTAGAACCTCTCTCTCACTTGGGTATGAAGAACCCTAGTTCCTTGTGTTAGGGAATTGATTGTAATGACTTGGGATGATGTTACTGTTTGATTTTAATCGAATGATGCATGTTTATTGAATTGATTGGAGTCTGATCAGCTTTTCTCAATTTCTGCTGCAACCTGAGATAGATAGAATCTGATTAGGTTGTTAGAGCCTCTTCATTCGATAGTAGGAGATTGGTTATACGAGAGTTAGCCAGTTTACTGCTTTGTACTGGAATTTAATTCCAGTAGTGGAGTTCTGTGTTCATAGCCTCAGCTTTCTATCCCGGTGAAGGCTAGTCGTCTGCCGGGTAGTTAGACTGAGAGGGCTTGGTCAGCTTAAGAGATTCCAAGCTACTGTCGGATATTCCGCAGTCTAATCAACAGTAAATCAACCCAGGGAATTGCAATTGAACCTAAATAAGGGGCTAGGGGGACTCAATCCCGAGTGACTCTTACCTGCTTTTGAAAATCGAACAATTTACTGCTTTCTTGTTGCTTTTACTTTTAACAACAATCACTCGAACTAGTTTGCTAGATAATAGAGAATCACGGAGTAAGCAGTAGATCTAGACCCCGGGTTGATAATTGAACTTGCCTGTTACTGCATTCCCGGACTGCGATTACACTTGGTCGCAGTTTGGGTGTTGTGTTTTAGCGTGTCAAGTTTTTGGCGCCGTTGCCGGGGAACCCTCTAGGTTATTGGGGAAACGTGAGAATTTGTTACTCTAGCTTTTTATTTACTGCATTTTATCTTTTCCACCTGTGTGCCTTCACGGGTTGCTTCTGCTGATTGTGTGCAGGTAGTGCATGACCCGTAGCCAGTCGGGAGAACTACTACCATTAGACCAGGAGCTTGAACGAACTTGCAGGAACTTCAAGCGGGCTCTAAAGGAGCGACTGGCTGCGGAGGAGGCGCTATCACAGCTGCAGATCGGAGAAGAAGAAGAAGGAGAGATGGGTGATCCGTAGAACCACGAAATGATCAACCCAGATGAGCAGACCATGGGATCCTAGTGGACCGCCAGGGCTGCGGACATGAGGTCAGCCATTCAACACCCTCAGGTCCCAGCCAACAACTTTGAGGTGAGCACCTCAGTGATCACCATGCTGCGCGGTTCAGTGGTGTTCCGTGGTAAGGAGGGAGAGTGCCCTAGATCACATCTCAGGCGATTCCACGAGCTCATCGATGGGATCAAGATCAATGGGGTACCAGCAGATGCCATCCAGCTGAGGTACTTTCCATTTACTTTGGAGGGGCAGGCCAAGGAGTGGCTAGACACTCGACCTCCGGGCTCCATCACCATTTTCGCCAACCTGGCGGACAAGTTCCTCACCCGCTACCATCCTCCATCCAAGACAGCTGACCTGCAGAAGCAAATTACACATTTTGCTCAGGATGAGGATGAGACCATTAGGGATGCTTGGGAGAGATACAACAGTCTCTTTCTCAGGTGTCCCAATCATGGTTTCAATGATGCATTCAAGGTGGGCAACTTCTATCACGCTCTCTTCCCGGAGGACAAGCAGCTGATCGATTCGGTTTGTGGCGGGAACATGCTGACCAAAACCCCGCCACAACTGAATCAACTCTTTGAAGAGATGGCGGAGAATGGTTATGATTGGGGCACTGCCAGGAGGTCGAGGAGAGCACCCAGCCGAGGTGTACATTCTGTGGGAGACCATCCCTCTGATTTGGTGCAGGTAGTATCGAAGCTGGTCTCAGCTATCGATCGTTCAGGAATGATTCCAGGGACCGGGGAGCAGCAGGCGATGCTCTGCCAATGGTGCGAAAGCACCCATCACACGGTGGAAGACTGCCAGGCGATGAAGGAATCAACCACACCCCAGGAGCAGGTGAACTTCATCAATAATGTCAGGCGCAATGACCCCTACAGCAACACGTACAATGAGGGGTGGCGCCAGCATCCTAACTTCTCCTGGGCTGGGCCAAATCCCAGACCAGCAGCTCCCTAGGGACCACCAGGCTTCCAGCGGCCACCATATCAGCCCAGACAGGGGCAATTCCAGCAGCAACAACAGTCTCTCTATCAGCCCATGCAGGGGCATGCTACTCAATCACAGCCGCGGCCTCTCCAGCAGCCAGGTGCAGCCCCTGCTGCCCCAGTGCAGAATGATCAGATGGCTGAACTGCGGGACTTGGTGGGTTCTCTCGCCAGTGCTAGTGCTCAGAAATTCAACACCTTTGAGCAGTTCATGGAGAAGGCCTCGGGTAAACTCCTGGTTCTCTCGCCACAGGCTGTTTTGCAGGATATCCAGACCCAGCTGGGGAGCGTGGCCCAAGCAGTGGCTCAAAGGGCTCCTGGTACTCTACCCGGGCAGACCATCCCTCACCCGCAGACCCCGGATGAGCGCTGCAATGCCATCATGACCAGGAGTGGCAAGATGACTGTTGATCCACCTGCTCGGGAACCGGAGAGAGAAAGCCCTGTTTTAGCGCCTCCAGCGGTTGAACAAGAAGTAGAGAAGGAGGTTGAGGTGCCTGCACCTAAACCGCAACCAGTAGTGAAGGAGTATATCCTTAAACTCCCCTTCCCTACTCGGTTGCACAAAGACAGGCTGGAGGCAGAGTTTGAGAACTTCATGGCCATGCTCAAGAAGCTGAATGTCCAAGTGCCCTTCCTGGAGGCACTATCGCAAATGCCGAAGTATGCGAAGTTTCTGAAAGAGCTTCTCTCAAAGAAGCAGAAGCTGAGTGAGCTGGCCACTGTGGAGCTCAGCGAGGAATGCTCGGCTATTCTGCAGAACAAGCTTCCGCAGAAGAAAAAGGACCCAGGTAGTTTTACTATCCCGTGCTCTATTGATAAATTGCATGTAGAGAAGTCCTTGGCGGATTTAGGTGCTAGTATCAATGTTATGCCATATCAACTGTTCAAGAAACTAGTCCTAGGCGAACCCCGTGCTACTAGGATGACCCTTCAATTAGCTGACAGATCTGTAGTGCATCCTAAGGGCATAGTGGAAGACCTTCTGGTTAAGGTTGGCAAATTCACATATCCTGTGGATTTTGTTATCCTGGACATCAATGAGGACACAGAAGTGCCTCTTATACTGGGAAGGCCTTTCCTGGCCACCGCCAAGGCTCTCATAGATGTGCATGATGGGACCTTAGTTTTGAGGGATGGCGAGGAGCGAATAACGTTTTCAGTTGCTAACACTATACCTGCTTCGTTACCTCTGCATGTTGTATCTCACCAGGAGCACGAGTCTGTCGTGTATCCTTCTTTGCTGCCTATTTTGCAGGACCCGCCTCCCACACCTTCGCCGCCACTCCTGACCACTCCATCACCAAAAATACAGATCAAGGAGGAGTGGCGGCCGAAACTGCAGGCAGCTAAGCTCGCTCGAAAGAAAGCCGGAGACCACTATGAGCTGGTCCCGCCCCCACCTTGGCCATCCGAGTATTCACTCGCTTGCATCTTGCCGGATGGCCAAGTCGAGCTGGCAAATGCAGGTGGCCACATTCGTCGCGTACATGGCCACCATTTGAAGCTGTACCTCAAGAGCGATGTGGATCCGCTCTTGAAGGCACCTGATCCTACACTTCCCTGAGCATCCATACTGGCGTCCAGCTAAAATACGGTAAAGAAGCGCTTGTGGGGAGGCAACCCCACCACGGTTTGCATTTCTACCCTTTTTCCTTTTTAATTTTTGTCGTTTTCGAGTCATTGAGTTTGTCTGGAGTCTTTCGGGAATGTTTCTCGTGCCCCGGATGGTCTATTTTGGTCTATGGTGATGTATTTTTTTGAGCCGGGGCACGTTTGGGTTTGGTTGTTCAAAATTGCAGCTCAAAAACTGGAGAAAAAGGGCCCTCGGCGATGAAATTACGGGCATGGGGGGCCAAATTACGGTCGTAATTCTTCGACCCCCTGCCCGTAATTAATTCACAGGGGCAATATGCTCTCGGCATAGAAATTACGGGCATGCCAAGGGGGAATTACGGCCGTAATCGTGCCCGTAATTACCCCCGAAAATTTTTAAAAACCCGCTCGGCCTTTGTCTATCTTTCCAGATTTAGACTCCGGATTGTGTGTGATTTTATTTCTTGTTCCCGTTGTGTGGACTGTTGACTTGGAACTATGGTTTATTTCACCCAATGTGTGTGTTCTATTGGTTCTAGCTCTGTGCCCCTCGGACTGGTCCTTGTCCAGTCCTCTGCTTTTGACTGGTCCGCCATCCAGTCAACCTTCCTGACCACTGTTTCACGGTAACATCGTTCCCCTTCCCTTCGCTCCATTGAGGACACTGTCGCATTTAAGTGTGGGGGGGGGGTTCTTTGTATTTATTGGAACGTATATATGGGTGCTTGGAGCCTAGTCCGCTGTCCGAATCTTACGATTTGAGGGCTCCAAGTACTGTTGTTTGATCATATTGGCACTGTGTATTGATTGATGAATTGATTGGTTTTCGGATTAATGCATGACAACTTGTTTGCGACTAGGACAACCTATGATGAGGACTGAGATGTGCAGTAGAACGATGTAGGGGTTCAGTTTTTCAGCTGTTTGCTTACCAACTGTGACTTGATCTGATTACTTGTTCTTGACAGTCGTTTATGCATCTAGTTCAGGGTATCAGAATGTGAGATAGAGCATATAGGTAGCCATGTGAGATTTGAGCCTGCTCGTTTCTTTCTTGTGCGATAGATCCCTCTTCCATGATGTGTAGCATTCACGTTGTCATTAGCTAAAATGATGGGGGCATAGGATTAGCCCACGCCCAAAAACTGACTGTCCTGATGTGTCATATCCCCTAGTCAGCCCCTTTGAGCCGTGTGTTATCCTTTCTTTTGGTCTATAACGGAAAAAATCACCCTTGTTGCATCTTTTAGAAGGTTCCACAGAGTGGTTGTTACATATTCTCTGCTGTTTCTGCTGAAGTTTATGTGAGTGTTGGAGGTAGTGCTTAAAAGTTGGGCAGGTGTTTGAAATTTGTGCAGAAGTGGTGGCTCTCTTAAGAAATGAAAAGAAAAATGAAAGAAAAACAAAGAAAAATTGAAAGCAAAAGAGAGCCACTACCAAAAATCTGAATAATGCCCATTAAGTAGTGTTTCTTAGCAGTCTGGCTTGGAAATGCTGATGTTTATGCCTCCTTCGCTCTTGTGCTCTTGAGATGTTGAGTAATGCAGAATAGCAGAAAGAAAATACCGGTTTGTTTGACTGTGATTGTGTGTTTGGAAATGTGGAACCTTTTGCTATGAATACTTCCACCACCTAAAAGGCCTTTTCCCCATGTCCAAGACCCTAGCCAGTCATTTGAACCTGTGTCTAAGACCTCCTGATTAGATAGTGATGACATTATGTATGTGAACTCTAGCATTTAGAGGCTGCCATCATGGTGAAGAGATCTTAGGGATTGAGAGAAATAGCATGCGCATTTTTCGCATTAAATTGTCCTGACCCCACTGGTCGAGAGCGAGTGATTCATTTTCATATTCTCTATACTCTTGTACCCCGGTGAGGACCTAGATTGCTCGGTCTCTGTTCTGATGTCTTGAGTTGGATGCATGAGTTGACTGTTTTGAGTGAGTGGTCGAGTCAAGTCTGGGTTGGTTGGTGAACAGAAGGGAAATTCTTCCGTTGCTCGATTTTGCTGCACTCGAATGTCCTTTGTGGTGGTTGTCCAGGTTGTTATTAAAGTTGTTCATGTGTTGATGTTTGAAAACCAGTTTGATTCACGTGTTCTGTGCCTTTATGACTTGTCCCCAATGTTGGTTGAATGAAATATGTGAGCTTACCTTGTGTAGTACTTGGTTTGCTTGGGGACAAGCAAACAGTTAAGTGTGGGGGAATTTGATAGCATCGTATTTGCACGTGTTTTCACTCTGGTTTCCTGTCCATTTTGGCTCGAATTGATTGTTCATTGGCCTATTTTACGCTAGGTTGTGTTGTTTTGTCGTATTTCAGGTCCTAGCAAGTAAAGAGGTGCATAGGCGCAAGTTTCGGGTCATTTGGAGGTCAAATGGCGAAGCACAGACAGAATTACGGGCAGCCCCTGCCAAATTACGGCCGTAATTGGCCAGGGCATGCCCGTAATTAAATAGCCGAGCCTTCTCCCCAGAATTCCCTCTCGGCGATGAAATTACGGTCAAGACCCCAAGAATTACGACCGTAATTCCCAAATTACTGGCGGTAATTGGGAAATTACGGGCGTATCTCCTCCTCCTGCAGCTTAAGTGAAACGTGCGTTTTGGTGCGAATTACGGGCAGGACGTGATTACGGCCGTAATTCTGCCCGTAATTCGCCCAGAGTCGGGTTTTTGGAGGCAGATTCGAGCCAAGGGGGAGGAATTCGATTTTCTGGGCAAAAACAGAGTTTTAGAGAGAGAAAGAGCGAAGAACAAACCCTAGGAGCTATTTTGGAGTGGATTTCTCATCATTGAAGCCCAGATTGCGTCCCTAGGAGTGAAGATTGACATCCCAGAGCAGATTTTCCTCATCTTTATGAGTATGACTACTCTGATTTCTGTTTTCTCTTCTCTCTCTATGGAGTAGAACCTCTCTCTCACTTGGGTATGAAGAACCCTAGTTCCTTGTGTTAGGGAATTGATTGTAATGACTTGGGATGATGTTACTGTTTGATTTTAATCGAATGATGCATGTTTATTGAATTGATTGGAGTCTGATCAGCTTTTCTCAATTTCTGCTGCAACCTGAGATAGATAGAATCTGATTAGGTTGCTAGAGCCTCTTCATTCGATAGTAGGAGATTGGTTATACGAGAGTTAGCCAGTTTACTGCTTTGTACTGGAATTTAATTCCAGTAGTGGAGTTCTGTGTTCATAGCCTCAGCTTTCTATCCCGGTGAAGGCTAGTCGTCTGCCGGGTAGTTAGACTGAGAGGGCTTGGTCAGCTTAAGAGATTCCAAGCTACTGTCGGATCTTCCGAAGTCTAATCAACAATAAATCAACCCAGGGAATTGCAATTGAACCTAACTAAGGGGCTAGGGGGACTCAATCCCGAGTGACTCTTACCTGCTTTTGAAAACCGAACAATTTACTGCTTTCTTGTTGCTTTTACTTTTAACAACAATCACTCGAACTAGTTTGCTAGATAATAAAGAATCACGGAGTAAGCAGTAGATCTAGACCCCGGGTTGATAATTGAACTTGCCTGTTACTGCATTCCCGGACTGCGATTACACTTGGTCGCAGTTTGGGTGTTGTGTTTTAGCGTGTCAACATTCTAGGTAATTCGTTCCAATTTAACCATGAATCACTATCTTTTAGTACATCACTTTAAAGGATGGGATAAGAATGGTTGTTCTGTTTTACCTTGTTATGCTTGGTATGTTTTATATCTGTAGTCGTTAAAAATTTGAATTTTTTATGCTTTGTGATATTTGCTTAAAAGTTTTTGAATTGACTAAAGATGTGTTTCCATCTAATGACCTTATTCATCCCCTACAAGCATGATCACTTCTCATCTTACTTTGAATCATTGAGTTTAGTTATCATCACTTGATCTAGGAAGACTAGTATAGTGATTATGAAGGATGTCATAGTCAATGAGATGAATGAAATGACCTCCTGATGTATTTCAATGTCATATTGTATGATCTATCAAAGATTTTTGATTATACACAAGAATCTCCTGTTTTCCAAAATTTTCATAGGGTAAACTGTATCTTTAGAAAAATGCAAAATTTCTACTCATCAAGATATTGTTTCATTCAAAAATTTCCATGGGGCCGTTTGGATTAAGGTTTTCTGTGAGTAATTTTAAAACAATCTCTCACAATGAGAGATTTTAATAAGATTACTCGTTTGAGAAAGCTTTATACGATTAAGAATTTAAACATTAGAGAATTAAAAAACCCACAATTGTGGACTTGTGAAATAGCTAATGACCATCCGCTATTTCCAAATCTCTCATTTTTATTCCATCTTTTCCCATCCTTTCCCTCACCCGACTACCCTTCCTTCTTCCTTTTCTCGTCCCACCACCGTAATCCCAACTGCCTCCGCCACACCTCCACTTTAATCCTTGGATCTCCTGGCGAGGGTTGCTGGGGAGATGGAGAGGACGGTGGCCGGTAGAATGACAAAAAGTCAAGGGAGAATGAGGGGAGGAATGGCGGAAAAGAAGAGCTCGACAAGAGGAAGAAGGAACCCACTTCGCTTCTCTTTTGTTCTCTAGTTTGAAATTCCATATTTTTTGCAAAAAGAGTGATTTTTCAAAAATCCTACACAAATATCTCGAATTAAAAATCTGGGTTTTAAAACGAGTGATTTGATTCCAAATCTCTCGAATTAAAAACCTGCATCCAAACGACCTCATGGTATTTTGAGAAATAAAGTGTGTGTTAAGCTCAACCTGGGTTTTAAAACGAGTGATTTGACACCCCTTATTTTCCTTGACCATCCACACGAGTTGAGGAAAAATGTAAAACTGCTCGACTAGTAAGGGTAAAGCTCAAAAGAGCTCTCCACCGTGAGAAAAATCAGAAGAAAGAAAAATAGTTGGTCATATGAGGAAGAAAAATAATAATATCATAAAAGAAATTGGGTTTGAATAGGACAAAGTGCTTTAAATTTATGTCAAGTTGATGTAGAGAGTATTCCAAGCTTAAAAGTTTGTCAAAAGCTTCACCCCAGAGTAGTCAAAATCCCGATTTAAATCCTAAAATCTTAAATTTTTACGATTTTACTTAACTATTTTGATTCTGATTTCACTATAAAATTTATGTACCTTAAAATCCTACACTATTCACGATTTAAATCTTTAAAATCCTTAAAATCTTACGATTTTACGATTCAAAGCTTTGAGTCAACTTTACTTATTTTCCTCAAATTTTGCAAAGTTACGCCTCTTTTTCTTCTACTCCACCAACTTCATCTTGTTCTCTCACACTAACCACCATCGACTATAATTAATTCACATCGACGTATTAATCATCATCGATTCACCACATCTTAACATTAACCTTGATAAATTGGAACATTAACCTTGAGAAATTATCATTGCAAGTGTTATGTGCTTTTGTGTTATTCATGATTTTCCTTACTAATATTATTCCATCTTCATTTTTATATGGAGCTTAAAATCCTACGATTTTATGATTCAATTTTACGATTCCGATTTTACCCCCACTTTCGATTTTATGTAAAATCTTCGATTTTGACTGCTTTGCTTCACCCTTATGTTTTGAAAATCTGATGCATGAATACTGATTGATGCCACGATTATGTGGTATGATGTTCTTGCATATTGATGTGGTTAGGATTCTCTCATGCTACTGTCGACCTTGTAAGTTACTAATGATCCACTACCTAAGATCGGGGTTGAGTGATGGTGGCTAGATTATAATGAGTTGTATATTGTTATGAGTAGTGTTTGCTTAGCGACAAGCAAAGTTCAAGTGTGGGGTACTTCCGATGACACTTTATTTATAGTGTTTGTCACTACCATTCTTGATACATTTTTCCTTCAATCAAAGCATCTTTAGTCATTTCAATGAAATTTATTGTATAAATAAAAAATATTTGATCAATGAGCTTTAATAGACCTAGGAAATGTTCTTGTACTCTTTGATGGCTTCTTGGTGCACGACCTAAGGAACCAAGTTGCTAGACTGAAAGGAGAGGGGGAGGGGGAGAATAAGTGAGCCCAATTTTACGCTAATTGTGCTTCAGCACCTCTTTTTTATTTATGATTTAGTAACACACACAATCACACTTCGAGCAATTGCACGCTTCCCCAACCTCTTCGACGATACATCTCTTTCGGTTGGTTTGTGCTATAGAGACTTCTAAACAGCGACAACTAACTAATTATGTGAGTGAGAACTCTGTCCTTGGTAATAGAGGGTCAAGTATATATATGGGTATACATATTTTTTATCTGTAGATGTCTCAAAATATTTTAAAAGGTTTTTTTTTTAATCCAACTAGCTTTTAGAATTGCTAACTTAACTTGTATATGTTAGATTCCAACAAATCACATGAAAAGACTGCTTCTCTTGGGCATAATGAATCTCTTTATCATAAAGATATTCGTTGAATAGAATATTAGGATAGAGAATTTAATCTTCACATGTGGGGAAAAGCTGCAACAAAGCCAGTATGTTAAGCTGCTATGCCACGACGGGGTAACTTTCAAATGGGTGATGTGAAAGCTCTGACTTCTGTCTCCTAAGTAAGTTGATCCAGATTTTGATGGTTTTGAATGTGCAAAGCAACTTAAGAAGGATTGGATCAATCATTGGAGAACTCTGGAGGACCGAATGAGCTATAAAGAGAAGATTAAGGAGCTTTCATGAGAAAGAAGAGGTCTAGTGATAGAGAAGTCAACTAGAAGTTGCTACATTATCCGAAGACGTGCCCATAGGAAGAAGACTCATCCTATATGGACAAAGGAACGTTCGACGACCCAAGCAACAAATCTAACCGCAGCTATGGGAGGTGATAGACCATTGATTGCACATGTTTTTACCCCTATTCTTGAGCCGTTTGAGATGTTGATTCTCGTGTTTTAAGCCGATTTCACGCTAGGTTGTGCGTTTATGTCATATTTCAAGGCTTAGCGTTGGCATCGAGGCGAAGAAACGAGTTTCGTGTCGAAAGGAGCACGTTTGAGTCGAAGTGTGCTGGAGGAGCAAAATACCCGGCCATGAGCAGAAATACCCGGTCGGGTATTATTTGGAGCAGACCGGGGAATTCATGCTTTGGGCGTCTGAGAAGCAGAAGGGGGCCCGGGCAGTAATCATAAATCCCCGGTCGGGTATTCTTGACCCAGACCGGGGATTAACCCTTGCTCCCCGACGGTTTGTTTTGAAGATACCCGGTCTCCACCCAAAATACCCGACCGGGTATTCAGACAGGGGATCGCGGCAGACAGCTTCTTAAGGGAAAAGAAGGGCAAAAGTGAAGGGTTCCGAGTTTTAGAGAGAAAAAGCGATACCTAGGGAGAGAAAGTGACGAACCTGATTCTGCAAGTGTCCTTGATCGATCTCCATCACCATTGGAGCCCGTCTTGAGCTTGGAGAAGAGCTGATTGAATGCCAGAAGCATTACTCATCCTTCACAGTATGGTTTCCGCATCTGAGCTAGATTTCCCATCTCTCTCTATGGAGTAACTTTTCTTTTCACCTGGGTATGAAGAACCCTAGATTTGTATGTTAGGTCTGATTGTATGAACCCAAGTATAGATTCAGTGGTGTGATTATGTTCAATTGAGGTTTGATTTATGCTTTAACCTAGAAAGAGAATATCTGCCTAGGTTGATAGAGCACCCTTGAGTGAAGGTAGTGAATTGGCGACTTTAGTCGAGGAGTCAATTCACTATTCTGTACCGAATTTACTTCGGTAGTGGAGGTTTGGTTCGTTAGGGCCTCAATCTGTTTACTCCGGTAGAGGTTAGTCACCCGCTGGGGAATCAGATTGAGAGGGTCTGGAGACCTTTAGTCGAGACTGCAGACTGTTTAAGAACCTCCCGCAATATAACTATCATCGGAATTGAACTTGGTAAATTACAATCCGGCTTAACTGCAGTCTATGGGGAACCATGTTCGGGTGACCTCTCTCGACTTGAAAACAACCTATTTACTTGCTTTTCTTGTTTT